GCTACGTGGCCCGCGGCGCGACGACAGCTACGGCGGACGCCCTGCTTTAGGGCGGTAACGACCCGCTGGCCAGCCACGGCGCTGCCCTGCCGCCGAGGGAACGACGGCGAGCCGCACCGCTCACACGTAGTACCGCGTCTGCGTCGGGACCAACCTCGGCTAGCGGACAAACCGTGGCTTTTTGCTGATATTTTTACAGACTCGGCGGGTCTCTCAGCTCTGCTGGCGCTCTGCCTCAGCATGGTCCTCCATCCGACCGAAAGCTCGGTTTGGGGTTTTGACTGCTCACTGCTGCCCTGCTACGCGGCGCGCTGTGGTTCCTCCGGCGGCGGCCGTCTTGGAAGCTTTGACCGCTTATTTGACCTCGCGTTGTTCTCACTGAAATTTCTAGAATCTTCGCGAGATGCCGAGCGATAGTGATACACTGATACCTGGGCGCGGCATTGCGATTGCGACGGTGAAATTCCGTGGGTCCTTGGACAAACTTGTGGCACTCCACGACGCCCGTCGTCATTGGTTGGATTGCATGTACTACCGGCAATGCTGGCCATGAAGTGAGGTTTGCCGAGAAAAGATTGCACAATGCTCGTTAGTCGTTTGCGTTGCACACAGTCAACATCACGGCAGGGCTTGGCTCGTCGTCGTCTCTTCAACCTTTCAATGTTTCTCAGGGGCCCGGGAGGCTCAACTGCTGCCACGAAGACCGATCAATCGATGAGGTACTCCAGTTCGTTTAGGAGTTCTCAAACTCGGTTTACTGCTGAAAACGAGAGCTCATCAGGTATAGGCTACACGCACGCCTGAGAAGGACCCCGAATTAAACAGACCGACCAACCAATGACCACGACGATCACGTTACTCATCATTGACTAGAACTAGCAGCTTCTACCCCTACTGTACTAGTACTGCAACTGCAAGCAGCTGGCGTGGCCGTCCTGGCGTGGCCGGTGCGGTGGCCATATCACCGCTCGCCACTTGGGGCCATGGGTGTAGCTTGCAAGTCAACATACGGCCCCGGCGGCCCCGCCGTTCCGTCGGCGACACTTGTCTGGCCACAACCACACGGCTCCGCATTGTTTATGCACCATCACACATGAAAGCGCACACCACCGCCAGGCACCGGCGGAAACTCCATCGCTGGGATCACGCCACCTGTCGACTGCAGTTCGCGAGCAGGCAAGCCTCTCGCGGAGGCAAATGCAATTATACCTGACGCACTGTTGGGTCGCAATTATTGGGCAGTGGAAATTCTAGGCCCGCGCTGCTGATATAGGCTGTTCGGTTGGCTGGTTCGTGAGGAAGTACTGCTGGCTGGTTTTTGTGAGAGAAAAATACTGTTTCGATTAGAAATTTACGATCGTTTACGATAAGCTACAGCCAAACGAACATGTTGGTGCCGTGCTGACGCTCGATGAACAGAGCGAGCGGGAAAAAGTACTCCTGAGCTGATGAAGCGACAACCGCAAGAGAAAAGGGTGCGATGCACTGCCCTTTTTTTTCCTCGTTCGTTTGGCTGATAAGTCATGACTGAAAATACTATGAATTGATTTGCTATAAGAGAAAAATAATATTCGTTGATTAAAAAAATAAGACTTATAAACCAAACAAACAGTACGTTTGTTCGCCTTTTTTGGATGGAGAGGAGATAGCTTTGTCGATCTTCCATCCATCTCCAGCGAAAAAGCCATGAAAAAAGAGCTCTTGCACCACGCGCGGATCTATCCTCTTTTCTTTTCTCTTTGGGCGCTTTTAGCGTGGGTTTTTGGCAAGCGACTTGAGGATTGAGGTCGATCTGTTGGCCGTAGCTAAGATGCTGTAGTGCTTTTGTAGACGACATTGTTACGTATGTTGCTAGCACTGCTCACTGGCCTGTCAATCTTAGCAAAAACTTCAGCGCAATCCACAGAGCAGATCAAAGCTTTATCGGGCCTTAACCATTTCTGGTATGTATATGCATGCGCTTAGCTGAAAAGACAATACTACAGGTTACACGGCGACACCGCAAAGCTCACGTACGTGTCCAACACCATACCTTGTGAGAAATGTGCGCACAGCTAGCGTTGCTCTCGTTGTTGGTCACGTAGTACGTGCTTACTCTAGTCTAGATCCCGGCCCGTAGCCTAAACTTTGTTTTGAAGCTAAGGGTGCGTGCAGGCGATGCTTATCCAGAAACGGGCCGGGGCGGGGGAAGGCTGCATGAGCACTCAAGTCAAGCGGCACAGGCGCCTTTCCCCTTTCGGCACGAAAATGACACACATGTTGATGTCAACCGCGCGCGGACGACAATTATTATGACTTGAGCGGCAGATCGAAGGCCCATGTTCAGTCGTTCAGATTCCTAATGCTCCTTCCACATTGCAACAAAAAAGCATCTATCTATGACACACATCTTGCTTGGTCACAAACTAGTGTGTACTAAGCACAGCAGCATCTGCCCGCAGATACGCACGGGATCGCGAGCACATCAGCACCGCGTGTGTGGAGAGATTTGCTGAAACCATACCGTTTGGCCTCAAGAATCTCCGGACAGAAAACTGGCAACTAACAAGTTGTCCGAGCTTAAAAAAATGTACTGATGGCAGCGTGCATTAGCTCAGGACTGAAGGGGATAAGAGCCCACTCGCTGTTAATTACTGTAATCTGAGGCTCGATCAGTAGCTCGATCCATCAGGGCCCTTATTATGCTTTGATATTTAGTAAGACCACGAAACGCTCCAAAGGCGTAGCGATCTGGACCTAACTAGTATACTACGATGAGGGGGGTGGCAGCTAGCCGCGCTTATTTAATCTGATCCGGAAGGGTTAAACAAGTGTGTGTTTATGTCATGCCGTGATCCAGCGCTGGAATTAGTTGTGTCGTGACGTCGGGTAGGCCTGCAACACGTATACTAAAATATACATACAGTGCTCCCTCCCTATGCAGTCGTTATCTATATGTTCGTTCAAATCAAACTTGAAAAAACCACACAGGTTAGAGCACGTCATCATCGCTTCTCGATCCCAAACAAACAAACGCATAACGAATCCTCCCTCCGTCCCCAATCCAAAGTAAGGGCTAGTTCGGTTCTCGGGGAACTGAGGGCTAGGAACCATTCCAACATCAATGGTTCCAGGCTCTCAATCCCTGGGAACCAAACAAGGCCTGAAGGGGAATTTTGGACCGAATTTAGTCCCAACGTTTCTCGACGACGTCTGCTAGCTGCTCCGTTCCGCAATTCTCAGAGCCAACGAAGGTCGTCCAAAGAAGACGTAGAAGAAATGTCCTGTCCGCCTGCCTTACACTCCGGCCAAGTCTTTCTTGCGTCCCTTAGCTTGGCGCGCGAGTTTCAACATGTACAATCAGATAATATTCTCAGGCAGCAGTCGGGTGGGGGTGGCCGACATTTGGTTATTCTATTCCGAATTTCCGATCAATCGACACAGCCAGCCATACAGGTGTCTCGTTACATTATTTGAGGGCAAGGACAAGTAACGGTGTAACGCCCTGATACTTCACGTGATACGAGCCAGTCGTGCAGGCCGCGAGGGAGATCACAGGTTTCGTCTCGCATCGCAGGCACTCAGGCAGGCAAAAGTACGCGTAGGACGCTATAGCCGCAGCCATGGCTCACCGCGAGATCTTTTCTGCGCGGGGGTTTCCGTGCCGCTGACCAGCTGTGCGCTTCATAATTGATAGGGCCAGATTGCGCTGGGCGCTGCTGCATCGGCGCTGAGCGCGCGTTTAGTTCGCGAAAAATAAATAATGGCCATCGTAGCGATTTCGTTTTTATTACGGTAATTAGTGCTCAATCACGCTAATTAGACTTTTCCGCGCGGGGGTTTCCGTGCCGCTGACCAGCTGTGCGCTTCATAATTGATAGGGCCAGATTGCGCTGGGCGCTGCTGCATCGGCGCTGAGCCGCTGAACTTTGTCCCTTTAAATAGACACAGGTCATCTCAACCCTGTAGCTAGGCCTCTTCTTCTCTCCTTCTCTGTCTTACTCCATCTCCAGCAGTCCAGCTCACCAGGACCAGGAGGAAGAAATCGCATAGCCTTCTTCGCCCGTCTGCATCCACACTCGAACAGTTGAGTTCCTCCTCTCCCCAACCCCAGTTGCTTTATCTCCTCGCGTTCTAGCTAGAACCGTATCGGCAGCAAGAAAGGAGCAGCTAGCAGGCGGGAATGACGTTCTCACCGTACGACGTCGTCGAGGGATTAGTAGGTGGCTCCTCGTTTTCCTCCGGATTTTTCAGCTCGATTCCACGATCTTTGAAACAGTTTTTCAATTCAAATGTACTTTAACATTTCAATATATACTGCTGCTGCTAGTAGCACCAGGCATTTTCTTTAGTTTTTCCGACGGCACAACTTGCCCCCGATCCACCAAAAAATAACGCCTTTTCGTTTCTGGGCGAAAAGTATGCCGCTTCGCCGTACATTACGCCAAGTTGCACTACGGTTCCCGATGTTGATTATTGGTCCCCCACTGCCAACGTTTTAAGGATAAGACCAGTTGCTTCGCTCCGTTTCGCTCACTGGTTGTGTTCGTCGTGCTTTGTGTCGTGCGCGTCCGCGTGCAGACTGCAGCGACGGGGAGCAGGGATAGTGGTAGTGGCGGTCTCTGCTGCTGGTGGAGTGGTGGCTTCGATTCCGGGGGCAGGCGGTGGCTTCTGGTCTCAAGAATCCCGGAAAGGCCGCCGGAAAGGGTGGAGCGGGCGGGCGCAATTCCGGTTCTTGTTCGATTGGCGTTCTCTCTGATTGGTTGTGCTTGCGTACAAGTTACAGTCTCTCTCTTGGGCTCTCCTTTTTGCCGGAACATTTCTCTCTCGAAATCCATTGTATGCTGACAAAAAAGAAAAGAATTCCCAAACCCTCGTTTGTTCAGTATCTTCTGGTTCTGCCGTGAATTCTCCGTGTGCGGTGAATTTCTTTCTTCTTCTTCTTCGTAGCCTTTTTGTGTCTCTGATGTCGTAGCGAATTCCTCATGCTTGCAGATAACTAAGCAGGCCGCCGCACAGGCATGGGGTGCGGGGCGTCGAGCCAGAAGGACGCCGGGGCGCCCCGGAGACGGCCGGGGAGCGTCGGCGACGTGGTCGTCTTCCTCCCGGGCCTCCGGGTGCCGAGGACCGTCGACTTCGCGCAGGCGCTCGGCGACTGCGTGGCCAGGAGCATCGTGGACCGGCTGTCGGCTCTCAGGTCGCGAGTCGTCGAGATGGCAATGCAAGAATCGGCGGCGGCGCTCAAGCCCAGGCGGAGGACGGCGGCACGGCACGGTGTGTAGAGTAGAGACTAGACTGCTAGAGGAGGGGCTGGTACAGCGCCTGGATTGGTAGTTTGGTACCTAGTTTTGTCTGTAAGCCCAAGGCTTCACTGCTCACCTGGGCTGCCGGTTTGCTTCTGTGTGTGCAGGGTCCAGTACAGCCAATCTTCTGCAGGCCCTTGAAGACTACTTGCCAGTTCTGCTAGGACTAGTAAAAGAAGGTGAGGAGCAGCTGCGATAACGTGGTGGTTTGGTTGCTTTTGTTTTGGTTCACAGTTTTGTTGTTCTGAATTCTGATTCACCCAGTCTGCAAAATGTGCAGGTAGCATCTTGAGGCACAAAGTGCAGTTCACCTGGAGTAACCAAGAGGATAATGCTGAGGTATGTATGTCCAGCCCTGAATTTCGTGAACTTGCTGCTGTTTTGTTACTCCAAACCAGCTATGTAAATTCAGCTCTCTTTTTTTCAATCACAGGAGACGGCCATTTCAGATGCCTGGTACGAGGTGCTGTCCGTGCTGCATTTGATGGCCATGGTCTGCTTGCTGCAGGCCAACACCCTGCTTCTCCCCAGGTCATACGGCGATGGCTACGCCCCAAGAGTTTCTGAAGGTACCGCAACTGTTAACTGTTAATTCAAAGTGTTGTTGTCTTGGAGACTGCGGTTGCAAGTTTCCTACATTTGAATTAGGCCATTGAAATATGCTAATGATTTTTCGTGCATTGAAGTACTTCTGTCTGTAGTGCTCATACGCTGATCAGGCCACATATTTCCAATGTGCTGCAGAGAGTAGACGGGCCACTGTTGATGTCTTCTTGAAGGCAGCTGGATACCTAGACTGTGCAATTCGGCATGTACTTCCGAAGATGCTGCTGGAACTAAGGTTCTGTACTCTTGAGAAACTTCCTAGCATTGTTAGGCTTCAATTCAAATTTAAAGACATCTACTGAAACATTCCCCTTTGACATGTGAATTACAGGAGACAACTTCCAGTAGACCTGGCTGAAGGAAACCTCAAAGCTCTAAGCCTGCAAGCCTTGGGTCAGGTACTGTCTTCTCAACTCTGCAAATTGGATTACCTAATTTTCATAACTTCTCAAATAGTGCCACAATTTAAATCAACAGTTCATTTGTTTTGATGATATTTTTTTTTCTAAGAGAACACTGAAGATATTATGCTTGCATGTATTTCTTTTGAACGAATTGGCACAAGATAGTGCCCATTTCATAGAAAGAGAAGGGTGATAATTTTGAACAATATATTACCTATTATTGCTGAGCAACATAGGTAGGTTTCAATTTTGAACAGCACAATTTGGTACTACTTGAGTTGCAATTTTGCTTTGAAAAGCATAAGAAACCTACTATCAGCATTCTATCAACACTTTGTCATATCTGTTACATTAGTCCTATTACCTGTGCTTTTGCTAGACACTAAATTTGATATTAGATATTACACTTTTGTTCTGAACATTGGTATTCTTCTTCCTGTAGGGAGTTGACATGCAGCTCGGTTTGGCTATTGATAGTCCAAAGGCCACTTTAGCAGTAAAACGGCGCTTGGCCTGTGAGATGGTCAAATATTGGCAACAAGTTCAAGAGAGCATTCCAGAGCTTCCTATCTCTGATGGATGGGGGAAAAAGCACCGGCTATTTGTAAAGTGGAAATATGTTGAAGCGAAGGTGTATAATCTATGCTACTACTATCATTCTTTTTAAGTGCAAATTCTTGTCTAAATCAAACAGGCTAAATTTTCTTCAGATGATACATTTCTCTAATGTGTAATCTTTGAAGCATTTCTACTGTATGACATATATTATTTTACATGTTTATCTCAGGCTGCAGCATACTATTTCCACGGTTTGATTCTTGACGAGGGAAATACCGAGAAATCCCATGGAATGGCAGTAGCTGCACTCCAAGCTTCAGAGGAATTTCTGAAAGAAAGCAAAAGGGTTTCGGAAGCCTTCCATGCAACTCCTCCAACATCGAGGCAAGATTTCCCCTCATACTTGACTATTCACCACATATTATTGGTGCTTAATAATCTGCTTGAGGAACATCTGTTGTTGTGAGTTGTAACAATAGTCAGGGAGACTGAATTCCATACCTGTAATTTTGCAGGAGTCCCAATCCATTAGGAACAGCAAAATATCTGTTTGACAAGATCCCAAGACATGCTTCCAGCAAGGTCCGAATCAACCAGGACCTGTATACTCAAGAAAAGTAAGAACCTTCAGAAAAAAAAAGTGCTCACAACAAACATACTGGAATCGTGAACCTCATGAACTGATGTGTAAGTATTTTGGGGAAACTTGCAGGGTCATTGGAGCTCCACCCCCGTTACCAGATTTTGCGCTGGCGCTAACACCTGAAGACTATGATCTTCCTACACTAGATCCACTTTGGAACAAAGAAGACACAGGTCATTAAGTGTATATGCGGTAGAATGGTTGCTTCTGGCAAAAAAAATTGGCTCTGGATAGAAAGGAAGGACCAAGATCTACCATGTCAAAGTTGAACATGGTAACGAATGAAGTGTACAAAATATTTTCAAACAAAATTACATGTCAACAAAATTAAGCAAGGCCTGAAGATAATCTGAAGAGCTTTGTACAGGCGATTCTTCTTCTGACAAGGGAAATGCCATGTCAAAGGGTTCATTCATCATTGTCGATCCTGATTCCTGATGCTTGCATTTTGTCAACGACGGGTTTTCAGCATTCCATATGGAACTGGAACCAGCCTCTGATCGAAAGTGGCAGCCTTCAATTTTTTTTAGTCATAAAACATTTACAATGGAACCTTAAAACATACCCTGGAACTGAGCAGTTTATATCAGACGAATAGGATATTCAAATAATCAGTGGATCAGTGTGGCCAAAAAGTTATCCCTTCCCACCATTCAGTCATAAAATTTTACTTCTGAATTTTCGAATGCAAAAAAAAAAAAACCCTCCATATGATCTCTCTTGATCAACTACGAGAGGTGATTCACAGCTAGATAGTACGACCCAACTAACACAAACGATGCAATTCCACTACGGGCCATTCGTAGGCCAATGCCACGGAACAAGACATTCCTATCAGCTGGGGATATTCCTGTCTTCCTCTCTATCCACGTTCCTGGTGCTTTCCACTTAAGAAACTTCCTCTCCATTGCGATATACTGCCAAAAAGAGAGAACAGAAACAAGGTGTATCACATATAGAAAAAAAAAAAAAAAAAGGAAATTTTAAGTTTGAAGACGAAAAAAGAATATCACAAGCAAAAAGGGATAAACTAGTTAAAGTACAGACATGCCAAACCTTAGGCACCACAGTACATTCTGAACGACTTTTGGCAGTATCAAATGTATGTGAAGCAGCAGCCGCTACCGCTCCTGCGAAGCCTGCAGCAAAACTAGAGGCAAAAGGGGGTACAGGGCCTGCTTCTTCTAGATTCCTGAAATGTGGCAAAAGATTAGGTTAAACTAAAATGTTACTTCATGATGTTACCACGCTGTCCCTATCATTACTTCAAATCAAATTCGCTTGCATCATTCCATACCTAGGTTCAGGGCTCATATTTACTGCCTTCCAGGTGAGCATCGCTGTGTGTAGGAATTGCCAAGTAGAAAAGAACATGCCACCAAATGCACAGTCTCGAGCTATCCCTGATCTGAGCCCTCTCCAAAGAGCACCCCATCCTTCAAGCAATATCACTCTAGAAGGTAGGTGCACATCAGACGGTAATGGGGGTTTCCCAGAGCCAGTAAGCATCCATGGGTGCTGTTTCAGAGCACCCAACATGTCAGGATGCTTGGGAGAAAGATGAGATAAAAGGCTCACTGTGTTGTTCCACACCCTTAGATCAGGAACATAACCTGGCAACAGTTTGGAAAGCAGTGGAAATGATTCTTGAGCAACATTTGCAGGGCCCATAGCTTTTGAAGGAACCACAGAACTAACTTGGTTTCGAAGTTTGAAAAGTTCAAATGGTGTGCAGAAAACAGCCTCTACAGCACCAGCAGCTATGCCAGCCAACATAGCCTCAGAATAATAGACATAGTTGTCCTCCCTTCCATCTTCCAAGACATATACAAGAGTCAAGACAGCGGTCATTTGCCATATATTTCACCATGAGTTAGACGGAGGAAAATTAAATTGGTTAACTGTCGCCAATAATACTAGAAATTATATTCCATCCAAGAACAAACTTATGTTACCATAGGCAGATTAAATCATCAGAAAGTAAATTGAACTATCAGGAAACGAATGCCATTCAAAATGAACTGCTTTTTGTAGTAATGAAGCAAAATAAAAGACAATGTTCGCTTTCTATAAAAGCAGGGTTTTCCTCCATCAAAAAAATAAAATAGAAGACAACGTGACACAACTTTCAGAGGTAAGAATTAGACATGCAATGCAAATACTGATAACAAAGTGGCATAGGGCAAGTAGTCCTAAACAATGTAACTGTGGGAAAACATGTCTTTACCTTTATAGAAGGCTGTTAAAAGTTCATAGGTCCCAAAACGTGCTCCCAACCCAGGAAGTTTACCCATTATGGACCATCCGATGCCACTGTAAAAACCTAGAAGACATACAATGATTTAGAATATGGTAATTTCATATGTGAAGTAACACATAACTAGATCCGAAGCCATTAGACATGAACTAGAAAATGTTATACAAAAATCAGGATTCATATGGCTTTCCTAATACTACATCTTTCCCTCAAGAAAGTTTTTAATGGAACAGGCACCTAAAGAAACATGGAGAATTGTAAGTCTGTAGACTGTAAACTTAAGGACAACTACTAGCGCCGGCGCGTTCCAAATTTTGTAACAATTGCGGATTTGTAATTTCACAAAAAAAAAACACAGCATAACTAAATTTGCAAATTTTTTATTTAGAATTGGTAGGTTTGTCAGGTAGGCTCAACAGTCAACAATCAACGATTAAATCATCAGACAATTCTGGCCTAGCACAGCATGGCAACTAAATACCGTCAGCTCTGCCAACTCCAACAGTTCACACATCTCAGTAGCAATGCAAATAAGGGTGAATCACAAATACTCCAACCGCAATACTTAGTCCCAACTCCCAATATCAAAGATATCTATCAACTGAGCAACCAAAAACCTGCAGGGCCGGAAGCGGCCATGAGCCGGTCCACCACCTGCCGGAGCCCCATCTTCTGCTTCTGCCCCGCCGCTCCCAGCTGCAGAGGCAAGAAAACACCGCGCAGACCCCAAAATCAGACCTTGAGAAAGCAACAGTACAGCAACACAAGGAGGAGAGGGGTGCGAGTGCGCTCGCCTGGAGGAGTGTCTTGACCGTGTCGAGGGGGTACACGGCGATGGCAGAGGCGCTTATCGCCGCCGCACCGGCGACCGCGTGGCCCGCGAACACGCTGTCCCCCAGCGGCTTGCTGCCTCCCACCATCTCGGCGGCCTGCAAGGCTGGAACACACCCTCCCCCAAAAATGGCGAAAAGCGGTGAGCGAGGAATTTGGGGAAGACAGGAACAGAGAAGCCGCGGGGGAATTTGGGGGCCCATTACAGAAACCTGCCTACCTCGATTTTTTTTTAACATTTTTTTAAACTAATTTTAAATCTAATACAATTTTATTTCTTTTTCTCCAAAACTAACACTTTTGGCCGCGCGCTATTGCCATGGCGGCTGGCTCGCGCTAATGCCACGTCATGCATGGTGGTGGGCGGGAGGATGACGTGGCGCGTCATCGTGGTGGTCTCTGCCGCGCCATCCATCTTAAGCGGCGCTCAGGACGCCCGCCAAATACTGGTGGCGCGGTAAGGCCCAGTAAAAGCCGACGAAGCAAGTGTTGCGCTAGCCTACTAAAAATACAAGCCACCTACCACAATTCTAGTTTTTATAGTTTCTAACCACATAATGGCTATGTCACTATACTAAGTTAGTGTGCTCTCAAAGGCTAACTAAAGAGCCACATTAACCAAACTAACAAGCTTTCACAACTAGCTACACTGAAGAGCTTGATAACTAGTTTACGATAATATAAAGAGAGTGAGTAAGATGGTTATACCGCCGAGTCGAGGAGTGAACCAATCAATCATAAGAATGAATATCAATGAAGACCAATCATCTCGGAATCAAATGATGACACAATGATTTTTTACCGAGGTTCACTTGCTTGCCGACAAGCTAGTCCTCGTTGTGGCGATTCACTCACTTGGAGGTTCATGCGCTAATTGGCATCACACGCCAAACGCTCAATAGGGTGCCGCACAACCAACACAAGATGAGGATCACACAAGACACGAGCAATTCACTAGAGTACCTTTTGACTCTCCGCCGGAGAAATGTCAAGAACCCCTCATAATCACCACGATCGAAGCCGGAGACAATCACCAACCTCCGCTCGACGATCCTCGCTGCTCCAAGCCATCTAGATGGTGGCAACCACCAAGAGTAACAAGTGAATCCCACAGCGAAACACAAACACCAAGTGCCTCTAGATGCAAACACTCCAGCAATGCACTTGGATTCACTCCAAAACTTACGAACATGTTAAATCTATGATGGAGATGAGTGGGAGGACTTTGGCTAAGCTCACAAGGTTGCTATGTCAATACAAATAGCTAAAAGAGTGAGCTAGAGTCGGTCATAGGGCTTAAATAGAAGCCCCCACAAAATAGAGTCGTTGTACCCCTTCACTGGACACAACGCGAGATAACCGGACGCTCCGGTCTGATCGACCGGACACAGGACCCCAGCGTCCGATCGCCCGATGCTTGCCACGTGTCATCGGCTTCAAACGCTGATCGCCCGATCTCAACGGTCATCAGTACATTTAAGTAGTGACCGGACGCGCTGCTCAAAGTGACCGGACGCAGGACCCCAGCGTCCGGTCATTTCTAGTAAGGTTCCATTCGTGAAAATTCACGACCGGACTCACCCAGCGTCCAGTCACTCAACGTCTCCCCTGTGCGTTGCATATGTCATCATACGTCATACTAACCGGAGTCAGGCCCTGAGCGTCCGGTCATTTCTCGTGCCAGCGTCCGGTCATGAGACCGAAACCGCGCGCGTACTGCTGCCACTGACCGAACGCGCCGGTCCTACCGAGACCAGCGTCCGGTCACTTACAGTGACCACGTTCACCTGGGTTTAGCCACCGGACACGTCCGTTACACTCTGTGAAACCCTATCTTTTCTGTACAGGGCGTCGGTGGCACCGTCGAACTGTCCGCACTCTACGGGCGGATACTCCGCCGGTGAAGTTTCTAATCCTTTCTCAAATGTGTCAACCACCAAGTATATCACCTTGTGTACATGTGTGTTAGCATATTTTCACAAATATTTTCAAGGGTGTTAGCACTCCACTAGATTCTAAATACATATGTAATGAGTTAGAGCATCTAGTGGCACTTTGATAACCGCATTTCGATACGAGTTTTACCCCTCTTAATAGTACGGCTATCGAACCTAAATATGATCACACTCGCTAAGTGTCTTGATCACCAAGATAAAATGGCTACTACCACTTGTACCTTTGCCTTAAACCTTTTGTTTTTCTCTTTCTTCTTTTCAAGTCCAAACGCTTGATCATCACCATGGCATCACTGTCATCATGTTATGATCATCACTTGCTTCGCCACTTGGAATGTGCTACCTATCTCATGAACACTTTGATACACTAGGTTAGCACTTAGGGTTTTATCAATTCACCAAAACTAAACTAGAGCTTTCAGTATGACCGCAGGAAGAGGTACAATACCAAGGATTACCGCGTGACACACAACACGTACATCCAATTGTGGCAGACCAGGGACCGAATAGCCATTCTATCCGGGTCCCCACATGACCAGCACACCTTCGACGAGTACCTACGGTTGCTTTCATAGGTCTACGAGGGCACATATCAAGCTTCATAGGTCTACGAGGACACATATCAAGCTTCACAGGTCTACAAGGACATATATCAAGCCCCCGTATACTGAGGAGGCGATTGATGAGGACAACGAGGAAGATATGATCGAAGATGTGTACGACGTTGCCACTAGAACGACACACAACTACAAAGAGACCTGCTTCAAAGATACGTGGTAAGATACTCGAATGGTACAATTTGTTATCCATTTGGTATTAAGTATGTGTACTAAAACTGTCCAACCGCGTTTCTGTACCCAGGCGATACAATTGTCAAGGTTGTCCAACGAAGCAGCGTTTCGGCTTCACGAGTCTAGAGGACAGGGGCCAGACGTTCTCGAGGCTTTTATGGAGGTAAACATAAACTTGTCTGTTCCGAAAATATTTCTTTAGTGTATATGCGTTTAGAAAATACACTAACTTTAACGTCTATTCATGCAGAAGGTAAAGCGGAGCTGCAGGAAGCTAACTCAGAAGTTGAGCTGCATGGACACTCCTTGGGTGGAACCCGATTACCAGACGTGGTCGGGTGCCACGTCTTCTGGCTCTTTGAGGACACCAGTCGGCTCTTCTCAGTCGATGACAGGTGCCGCTCCCGCTGTGCATACACCACCACATTATAACGCTGGGAAGGACCCTGCAAACGAGGACGACGATGACGATGACGACGACGACCCCCCGGGCTTCCGCATACAGCACCACTAGTGGGACCCTTGGCAGCAGGACGAGATCGACATGTCTCAGCTAGGTGGTGCCCCGCTTGGTACCTGTAACAGAACCGACCAATTATACGAAATTAAGTAAGAAAATCATCCACCAGAGCAGACGATTTAGCAAACTTAAGCCCGTATAACCCGGTAGTCCGTGAAATCACAAAGGATTTCAAACCAACTTCCATTCTAGCCAAGATTGTAATAAGTTTAGCGGTCACCATCACATATTACATAAAAAGTTGCATCTCAGATACATCAGAGTTTATACATAGTTATTACAAAACAAGTTCGAATAAAAGTAGCGGAAGCCATTTGTTCAAACCACACACACACGCACACGGAGTTCAAATACAGTGCCAGTGAATGATCATCTCCAACAAAAGCATCAGACGAGACGTAAGGAATGACCATGCCCATGGTCCTAAGCATCACCCATCGCAGGATAAAGGCAGTTGATACAGTAGCCGTAATACATCTGCCCATCTGCAACAAGTGAGAATAAAACCCTGAGTATGAGAAGGTACTCCGCTAGACTTACCCGACATAACCAAAAATAAGTGACACCAAGGATTATGAAGGGCTTTATAGTAGGGTAGCTGACTCATTTGCAAAAAAAAGCATTTTTAGCATTTCAAGACCCTTTTCAAAAGCATTATTGTCAAGTTAATTGTTATTAACCTGTCGACTAGATTTGCACCTATACTAGAGCAAACATGTGATTAAGCCAATAATGATAACCAATGATCATTAACAACTTACATACTGTCATATTCATTATAATTGTCCAAGTGTTCCATAAACATTTACTACGATGAAGTAACTCAAGTCAAGTGCTCACTATCCGGGAGCGATGGCGATTCGAATCGATTCCTAACCAGCTGGTGATTTATTCCTTACACAAACCTCACTCACCCGCTAAAGTGAGGTATTGATCACCGAGTCAACTATCCAGGTATCTCGAGTTTGCTAGAAACCACATGTACCCGGGGGCCGACCGACTGCACTTTGGTCTTATCATCTCGCCCCCGTGTCCTACCACACCTGCTCCGGCACAGTGCGCTGCGGGCAATCTACTCGGCCCGAATAATCTCTCAGCTTCGCGGTCGGAAGGTACTTTATCCGGCCAGCTAAATATAAGGCATGCGTTCAACATGACTCGAGGCCCAACAATGGTCGGTCCTTAATCGACCACAGACGGAAAGCACTCTGGTCCAAAACTACGCAAGTCTCCGTCGGTCTCAACTTCATTTAACACTTAGTTATACCATGACTTCATAGTCATCCAAGCGAGATCCGGTAACCACCTATAGCTCGCGGTGATGGAAATCACCCGACTTCTACCGGTCTAAGCCGCTAAGCATTGACTCATTGCGGATACTAGGGTAACAAGAATATAGTATAACAAAGGTAAACAAGGTATAATGCGAAAGCGGTTGCAAACAACTCTGAACGTAATGCATCAATTAAAGTAAAGCATTTAATTAATAATTGCAACCGGGAGAAAATGCTCAGGGCTTGCCTCTCTTGAAGGAGCTCGAGGCGGTGATCGGGGCACTCTGGAAGTTCCTCAACGTCCTCCTCGTCGGCCGGGCACTTCTGCACGCACCTCGAATGCTCCTCGGGCTCCTCGGGTATGACGTTGGGTTCTCGATTTGCGATCTGTATGATGCAATGTGTGTAAGTGCTTATGCAATCGGTGCATCGAATGAGATGAATACAATGGATATGTTTAAATGCAAGGTAGTCAACATCATCCAAGAACATATACTACGAGCACATGTCATCTACTGCATTCTCTTCTACTACTAATATGTTAAGTCA